TGACGCGATGTTGCGAAAACCTATGAGCAGTGAGATTGTCCAAACGTCACCGGCGGCTTTGGAGCGTTGCTTGGAGAGGACCAGGCGAGCGGTGTAATGAAAATCCACTGGCTGACGGGGAGCTGCTAAAGAACGGGGAAGTGGACAGGGAGTAGCGCTGCAGCTTTCGGAGAAATAAACACCCGTAGTAGTCTGGATTCTGCTCTGACAGCTACGCCGTTTACCAGTGGGAGGAGCTCAGAGTTAACTGGTTTTATTAAATTAGCTTTTTACTTTAGTTTTTGGAATTACAACTTGATTTATCTTCACTTGCGCTTCTTGGCAGCTAGCTTCCATGCACATCCGGCTCCACTGTTGTTATTAGCGTCGGATGGCACCAGAGTTCTGCTGGACTACTACTTCATTTTTATATAAAAACTGGACAAAGCTGGACATTACTTGGAGAAAAGAAAGTGAGGAAGTTGAACTACCTGGTGGGTTTCCTTGGGCTGTTTATTCACTTAAAACGCGTGTGTGTGAACACTCAAAATGTCCTGCGGGCAAACTCGTGTGAGTAAAGCGAGGCGAATATTGAATTCGCTTTCGGTGTGAACGCAGCTTAAGACTGTTCCCTGCCGCTAACAGGTAAAACCCAAAGGACCAAGGGACCGACCCACTGGCAAGCAGCTAGTTCTTCCACTTTCTTACAGTGTGCCAAGCCCCACCGAAGGGCAACCAACCAGATCGCCTGCTGTGTGCCTTCAAAGCAGACGAACAGACGGAGGAAACGAAACACTTAAACTTATAGCTTAATTACAGTTTAGTGATTACGTTAGGGTCCACATCCTGCATCCATTCGCTTCCTTTATTTCTTTTAGAATCATATTTCTTTCACAATAGACAAAAAAGAATTTCCAGGGACCCTGTTAATTCTGTTCCAACTTCAGTATTGTACTTTGTTATTGTCATCTATGTTTATGTCATACATTTTAACACATCATTGGTTGTTTTTATACAGTATATCCTTATTTACACTTCACTTGTCTTCACCTTAGTTAGTAAATAAATACTCCTGTTTAATCACAGTAAATTGTGTGTACTTTTTTATAATCTACGTCTTGAGAATTCATTCTTCAGATATAAGATTGATCTATTAATGTCGACTGATTATTAGTTTATTTCCAATGCTTCAAGCCAAGGTTTCCAGGCTGCTTGTGTAAACCAAAAAGCAAGGTGGTACACAGAAAATTAAGGTTCACTACACTTTGTTTCCTGTTGTCTGATTATCCTGATGTATTTCACCTGTTCGCTCCTTCCCTCCTCATTTGTCCCTGTATTTAACATGCTCGGTTCTGTTCAGTCTTTGCTGTGTCCTCATCATTTGTTGAGTATTTCAAAACTGGCTTCACTGCTCTCCATTCAAATCTACGTGGTAGTGTTGTAGTACTCGAGACCAAGACCGGTCTTAAGAACACTTTTTGATGGTCTTTTGTACTTGGTCTTTTCTCGGTCTCGGACATTGAGGACTTGGAATATTATTTCAAGACCAGTCAAGACCATAACTTTGGGAATACCAATAAATTGTTTTTGCATCGTCTGATTTATTTGTTAACATCCTAACTTTGATTGGATGTAAAACGTATTCGCTTCAAATGCAACCAATAACCCTGACTAAAAAAGTATTGTTCCTGTTAATGAACAGGAACCCTACCCGGGATACTAACTTTGATTTCAGCTCTTAGTGTTTGTATGTGGGTGTTTT